GAGATCATGACTTGAGCCAAAATCAAGAGTTGGACGTCCAACTGACTGAGCCACCCAGATGCCCCAAAAGTGACCTTTTTTTTCAACGGTTTTTCTCCCCGAGCCTAGAAGAGTATGTAGCACATAGTAAGTACTCAATAAACATGGGTTGGATGAATGACTGAATGTCATGTTATTGCCCCTGGAGAGCTCCAACATCACGTCTCTGATAATAGCAGGCACAATCCCACGACCTACTACCAAGTTGCTTCCTTAAGTGTCACTTTAAAAAATATCTGAGGTAGAGTCCATGATCCGACAGCCCTGTTTTTCATTTTCTACAACATCAGTTGCTATTTCCTCCTTTGTTCAGGCCCCCAGACCTCGCAACCACCTTCAGCGCCTCTCTTTCTCAGACTCTGCGTGCAAACCACTGGGAAATCTTGGTGCCTCCAAATCCTCTCCCTTCAAGAGGACATCCACAATCAGACCCCCTCTCTTCACCTCCACCACCAGCCCCAGTCTCAGGCCGATGACAGCAATGGCTTCTGATGGTTTTCCGCTGTCACTCTTGGCCCCTCCCTACAACTCAGCGGCCAGAGTGAAAACAGAAGTTCCGTCCCTGCTCTGTTCATAACTGATGGCTTTCAGCTCCTTCAGAGTAAAAGCTGGGTCCTCGCGGCAGCTTACAGCAGTCCCTTCAGATGGTGACAAGGCCCTCTGTCATTTGTCGTCATGCCTCACACCCTGCTCTCCTCCCTGACCCACCATTCTCCCTGTCACTCAGCTCCAGCTCCTCTAGCCTCCCTGCTGGATCTCTCATAGGTGGGTGTTTTGGTTTTGTTTTTTTTTTTAATATTTTATTTCTTTGTCAGAGAGAGAGAGTACAAGCAGGGGGAGCGGCAGGCGGAGGGAGAATCAGGCTTCCCGCTGAGCAGGGAGCCCCATGCAGGGCTCGATCCCAGGACCCTGGGATCATGACCTGAGCTGAAGGCAGACGCTTAACGACTGAGCCACCCGGGCGCCCCCTCGTAGATGGTTTTGTCATCACATACCATTCACAGTTACTGCTTGTCTCCCCGACCAGAATGAACTTCAGGAGGGGAAGGATTTTTTTTTAAGTAATCTCTACACCCCAAGCAGGGCTCGAACTCATGATGCCGAGCTCAAGAGTCACATGCTCCACCGACTGAGCCAGCCAGGCGCCCCAAGAGGGGGACGGATTTTTATGTATTTGGTTCACTGATGTATCCGCAGTGTCCAGAACAATGGTGCCTGGCACACAATGGGTGTCAGTAAATATTTCTTGGATAAATAAATGAGACATTATTTTGGACTAGATGATGTTTCCAAAGCAAAGGGATACGCAGAAGGCCTTCCAATATCAGGAAATGAGACACATTTTCCTTATACTGGGATTTTTTGGTCTTTTAAAAAAAATTAGCTTTCTCTTTTTATCCCATTTGTAATTGAGAATAATTTAATATAATTGGCTTATTAAGGCTGTCTGGACAATAGGGCACAGAAGAGAAACCTGCCTTTTGGGAACGTAACAGTATGTAGGAAAATTAAGTAGGTGGAGACTGCAAACAAATATCTCGTGTTTGTGTTGCGTGATCTGTTGGCATAAACATACATATGCAGACTGTGTGAAAACTGCTTTGATGATTCCTGCTTTTGATGTTACCCCCTCCCCCCTCGTTTGCTCTGCTCTGCTCTCCCTTAGAACGTGTTTCCTCTCTCTCTGTGCGCAGAGCGCTGTACATACACCCAGGAAAAAATGGTCATTCAGGCGTGTGTGAAGTCCTGCATACCCCAAAGATTCATTTAAAATATACGGTCATGTTATAAATCTTGGCTGACAACCTAGTATTTGCCTAGCCAGAATGACCTCTGCACCATAACTGGGGGCAGAGGGTGGGGGAGAGAGGGAGAGGGAGGAAGATAGAGTGGGAGGGACAGGCTTTATAGGTGTTCGGTTTAGCGGATTGCGGCTTCTCATGAATATTCAGCCTGTTTGATGCAACTGGGGTGTGTCTGAAGCATTAAATCATGAATATGTCATAGTCACTGCACTGGCAATCTTACATTCCGGAGCAGATTTTGATGGCGTGTGTTTGAATTAATTCCTAATTCAAACGGGGCACATCAGCCCTGATTTTCCTTGGGAAAATTTTTTTGCTCCTATTTCTTCCTGACCCACACCATTCCTTGCTCCGGGCAGTCCTCCTCCACGGCCCCCACCCACCTTTAGTCTGGGCCCCCTGGCTCTCACCCTTCCTGCAAAGTCACCGCATTTTACCTCCTTCTTTTCCTTAGGAGACAAATACTCTCCTCAGTCAAGCCTTTCCTCTCTCACCAGACCCTCCCTGATTCATCCTTCGTTCCCTGCTGGATTTGCCATACATCATAGAAATGAACAACATCAGTTTACCGGTAATTGGCAAGTTTTCTTTACCAAGTATCAAATTTGTGATGAGGTGATCTGGAAATAGCAACAAAGCCCAGAAGGCTACATGAGAAGTCACTGTGGGATGACAGGATACTAACACAACGTAGCAGGTACACTTCCCACGTGCTTGACACGTATCAACTCATTTACTCCTCAAACAGTCTTATACAGTAGGTCCTATTATCATCACTCAATTTTATGCAGGAAGACAACGAGGATGGGGTTAAGTGCTGGAGTTGGAGATTCTAATCAAGGCATTCTGGCTCCAAAAGGCATATCAAAGACTTGCCCCCCCACCCCCCAGCTGTGGGCCAAGAGCTGAGATTCCCTGGGTGTCTGCATTGTGTTCTTATCCACCTGAATCTAGCAGCTAACCATCCAGTTATCTCTGCCTTTGGTGGGGAATAGTCCACTGTTTGGCGTGGAAAAAGTTAAGGCAGGTCTTCGTTACCAATTTCATTTCTTACCCATGGGTGTTAAAATGAAATCTGCTTCCCCAGGGCTCACCCTAGAAAATGACAGTAGAAAAAACAAAAACAAAACAGGTCCATCTGTCTGTTAGTCTAGGCTCCAGGTGTAAAGAGAGAGCCTGGAAATGTCAGTCCATGAGGTTCTGGAGGAAGAATGGAGGTTTTTAGTTGCAAGTGAATCTTCAGTGTGGATAATTCCGCCTGAAACCTCCATGGTGACCCCCTTGCCCCCCTTAGAGCCAGTGTAGGAGGTCCCTGCTTGATGCAGAAGGGAGATGCTAAACTTGCCAGCGTTGTTTTCTATGTGTCTTGGTTTCTATAGGGTTTGGTTAGGAAAAGTCCCTAGAGACTAGCCCCACCCATCCATCCTCGCTCCCCTCAGCCTCCAGCTCTGTCCACACGACCTCTTGGATGAATAAGACCTTCTGGGTTCTCAGGGTTATTGCAACAATGCAAGATCTAAATCTGTCAAATGCAGATACTTGCTGTCCCAGAAACAACATGAGTCCGGATATAGGGTTCCAACTGAGACTGGGGCTTGAGGCCTATATTCCCTTCCTCTTCCTAGAACTCACAGGAGCCATCAGCTAGTGACAGTGGATCTTGGCCTCTCTTAGCACGTGGTGCTTGGCTTTGGCCCCCACTCCTCTCAACCCAACCATGAGTTTTCTCTTGACCCCTTCGGCTCCAATTACATCGTCTGGGGGGGGGGCCAGGAACCAGAGGAGGTCGGCATTTCCATATCTAGCCATCCCTGTCCTGGGCACACAGTAGAACATGTTCTCCATAAATCTGCACAGCTCACTATGAAGTGCATCTTCCACTGCACTGGGATTTGGAAAAACCTGTTTCTTGGGGCCTGCTCAGCAGAATTCCCTTGCTCACACCTTCCTGGGAAAGAACCACATGCTGGTAGGGTCTATGCTGTACAAGAGGATACAGCAAAGCGGACAGATACATCCTCCTTCTTCCTGGAGTCAACGCTGGATTTGTGGCAAAGCCCCTGCGGGTGGAGGGTCCAGACCTTTGGCTTTTCACCTTTTGGATGAGTTGTGTTCATTAGCGTCCTTGCCAGAGTGGGAAACCCGGGCAAGAGGCAACACTCACGGGAGCCTGTTCTCCTAGTGACTAATGGCTCTAGGGAAGGAAGGAAAGGCTGGGGTTAATGCTTAAAATGAGGCTGAAAAAGGTACCCACAGGGTTTCTATTCTTCCCACTTTTTATCTGTTCCTATGACCAAGAGTCACCAAGGGCTGGCTCTATCCTTCACTCCTGTGAGCTGTGGGGAAGGCAAAGGTGTTGCCTCCTGCTCTGGCCGGAGCCCCTCGGAGGGGCTTGCGCAGTCTGGCTGGGGGTATCGACTCTTCTGACCTTAGCAGTGCGGCCGACACGGAGACACCGGGCCACGCAGCCACGAGCCCGGTGGAATGTGTGGAACATTCCAAGGGGAGTCGGGCCGGGGCTGAGGGGGTGGGGCGTTCTTGGCGGAACCTTGGCAGACAAATCGTCAGAGACAGAAATAGGAGACTCTGGGCAGTGATAAAATAAACTGTTTTAATGGGAGGCTTTTGGAGAGAGTCATGCTTTCTTGTGCTGTCAAGCAGCCAGTTGTCCTGCCTTGCGGCATCTTGGTGGTGGATTGGCTGAACCCCCAGCCCCGCCGGAAGCTAGGGTATCAGTCTGCCGCCATGTGCGGCCCCTCCAGGATCCAGAGGTGTGTCTTCACAACAGGAGGCCGGCGTTAGCTGGTGGTCAGTCCCACAGACACGGTCCTGATGTGTGGGTGTGTGTCCAGGCCGGAGGGAAAGGGGGAGGAGCTTTCACTCCCGACTCAGGCTATTTCTCCATGGAGGGGGCAAGGGGGCCAATCACTTGGAAGATTCAACTCCGACCTTTACAAAGAGAACTAATAGACACTTTAGTATTATATACAGGGTGGGGGGGGGAGGAAGCGGAGGGGCAATTGCACTTAATTACATTAGGTTATAGTTTACACCCATTGGAGAAATTTACTTCTTCAAAAGAAATCTCAAGATCAGCTGGGATGGGGTAGGGGGCGGGAGGCTGCTCATATTTACAGTGTGTTTGGCTCAGTTCAATAGCACGTGTCCTCCTCATTTCAGTAACAGATTCAAGTTTTTCACATCAGTTTGTTCGACGAGGGAGCGCAACGTAGACACGACAGCTTTCTCTCTTCCTCCTCCGTGGTTTCTCGGCTCCCACCCGTGGGCCGGATGGGAGTCCTGGACATCTTGGGAGAGACATGGCGACAATACTGCGTAGAAGGGGAGGGAAGCCGCACTCTGGGCTGTGCCTCCCAGCGGGCTGTCCTTGTCTGTCCGGGACACCAGCGGGATGTCAGGTAGGCAGGGACCTCTCTCGAAGGTGCCTGTCAGGCCACTGGCCTTTTCCGTGACAGCTGCCTGGAGGCGGACGGTGTGGCAAATAGGGTCCTTGTTGCTGTGCACAAAGTAAGTGATGGGTGGGCATCACCAGGCTTGGAGGGGGCACTGCAGAGAGAGGAGAGAGAGCTCAGCGGCGTGCATTCAGCAGGGATGAGGCCATTCATTTGGCTTCTCCAGGGGAGCCTGGACCCCACTCAGCCAGCCGTGGGCTGAGGACCCCCAGTGCCCGCTCAGTGCCCCCGCGTTGGTGCTATGCTCCCTTTAGGGAAACTCGCGAGCCAGGTTTCCCGGCCACTTCAGAAGACAGCAGTATATTGCTGCAGACCTTGAAATAGTCATAACTCGCTGACCTTTATCCTGAAGTCAAGCTCCTCTTTCTGTGAGCGTGGGGTTTACAGCGTGCTCGGTGTGGTTGCTCAACGGCAGCTGGACGGCAGCTCTTGCCTCTCGTGGAAGTAAGGGTCCTCTTCCTAACACCTCTAAGGGCAGGGGTCCCCTAGACCACTGATCCCCAAATTTTAATGGACCCATGAATACCAGAGAGCCTGTGAAAAGGTGGATTCCGATCGAGCGGGCTTGAGGTGGGGCCTAAGCACCTGCATTTCTAATCAGCTCCCAGATTGGCCAGAACTGATGACCTACTTGAGCAACAGGCCATAAAGCACATAAGAAAATCACCACTTGCTCACGGGAAGGCGTGAGGGGAATTGCAAAGTGCTTTCTACAGGCTTGTTCCTATTAAGACAAGAACTCTGGGCTGAAGGCCTCTGATGCCAGACTTCCAGGTGGGCGGCGGGGGGGGGGGTGGTGGGTGGGCAGGAGACCCCAGAATGGATGGAGAAACCCCCCGAGAGGAGCCACGGCCCACATCCTGGGGTGGCCTCCCCTTCCAGGGCCCTGGGCCTCATTCATTTTGGCGGTCGTGGAACATCATTCCCGTCCTTTTTCTCCAGGGAGGCCCTTTTTGCTTCCCTCTGTCTCTTCCTTCCCTTTCATTTGTTTTGGCATCTAAGGGGAAAATTCTGCCTTTTGGCTTAATGGCTCCTTCTCTAAGGATCTTCCTTCAACACTCAAGAGCTTATATGTGCATACACACACACACACACACACACACACACCTATCATTACTACTAAAGGCCTATTATTGCGTTATTATCTCATCAGTGCTCCCAGCCATAATCCTGTACAAGGTTGCCATTATGCCCATTTTAGAGATTAGGAAGACAAGCTCAAAGAGAGCCAATTACCCGGTTTCAGAACTAGGACAGCATAGAGACAGAGATTCAAACTGGTTCTGGGTGCCCTCGGGCACGTGTTCTTTCTAATATGCTCTGAGGTTAAGAATCTTCTCCTAGCTTTGTGCTCTTAGTCCGGCACTCTCTCTGTGCCTCAGTTTTCTCACTTGTGAAATGGAGGTTGTTGAGGAGTCAGGCAAACTGATACATGGGAAAGGCTCAGAATTAACACTGGGGCTGCACAGGGTGCCTGGGCCTGCGAGCCCTCTTCAGAGTGTGATTGCATTCGAGGGGACAGGTTTTGACCCTTTTAAATTCTTGAGGCCCTGGTCAGGGTCCTCTGATACCCTTTGCCTCCTCTTCCTCTCGCCACCCACCCCCATTTTCGAGTCTCTTTACTTCCCACTATCAGCCTTTTTCCAATTTTCAGATTTCAGGTGAGGAGAGAGAAAATGGCTCGTGACCTTGCAGGTTTCAATAGGAGAGCAAACAAGAAGGGCAGATAAGGAGACGCCAGCGAGATTCTATGACCTGTCATTAGGGATGGGCTTCCCAGCTATCAAATGTTTGCTCACATAATAAAATGGTGGCAGAGCCCTAAATGTTGTCAGAGGTACTAGAGTTATTTGTCCCTTTCAGAGTCTAAACACAAACAGCTGATAAGGGGTGCACTGGGGTCCCTCAGAACCAAGGCCTGGCACACCCAGCCCTGCGGGGGCCCTGCCCAGAGGATCTGGAAGGGGTGGTAGTAGCTGTGGTAACAGTTAAGGACGTCCTCGCTCTAAGGGGGCTGATTACATATGGCAGGAGCTAATGTTTACTGAGGTCCTACTATGTGAGGCACTGCGCTAAGTAAGGGCTTTACATGCATCCTTGTATTGGATTCACACATCAGCCCTTATCATTCATTCATTCAACACGTTTTTGAATGCTTTCTACAGGCTTAGGGCTTTTTTAGGCACTGGGCATATGCAGCCATGAACAAGACCCTGTCCATATCATCACAGAGTTTATATTCTAGAGAGAGTTTTGAATAATAAATAAGTAAATGAATATACATATGTGTGTGTGTGTGTGTGTGTGTGTATAGTACACGTGTATATAAAATAAAATTTCAGGTAGAGATGAATGCTCTGTAGAAAAAAATATGCATGATAACAGGTTAGACTGATTTGAAGGAAAAGGGAATAATTTACAGAGGGCAATCAGGAGGGGCCTCCTTGAAGTGGTCACATTTGAGCTGAATGAGATGAGGGAGCAAGCATGCAAAGATGTGCATTATGGAGCCCACAAATGCAGAAGTCCTTAAGTGGGATCACCTCAATTATGGCTCAGCTGAAGCCGAGGGGAAGAGGGAGGTGGGGAGGGAGGTGAGAAGGGCAGGGTCAGCAGGGGGCTGATCACACTGGGCGCTAGGAAGCCTTCATTTTGGCTTGGTTGCAATGGGAAGCTATTGGAGTTTTGATGGGGCAGGGGTGACATGATTGGTTTCCCCTTTTGAGAGATAATTCTGGCTGCTACGTAGTGAGCAGACCATAACCACCATTGTGGGGCAGGAGTGAGAGTGGGAGTCGGAAGTTGGGGCCACTGTAGGGAATCAGTGAGGGAAGGGGGTAGACTGGTAGGGAGGTGAGAAGCACTCAGATGTGGGATGCATTTTGCAGGATCCCTAGCAGAACTTATCCAGGGACTGGTTGTGGGATGTGCAGAGGAGAATCAAGGAGACTCTCAGGTATCTCCCCTGAACAACTGGTACCATTTTTGGAAATGGAGAAGCCCAAGGAAGAAGCAGTTTGAGTAGGGAGAAACAGGGGCAAAATGAAGAGTTCCTATTTTAGCGAGGCTTGTCATGCCAAAGATGCATTGGATTTATGAATGGGCATTCAAGGGAGAGGTCTGTACTGGAGACAGAACTACTGGATCCATCAGTGTGGACACTTGATCCAAAGCCATGGGAGTGGAGGAGATCATCCAGGAGTGACCACAGCAGAGAATGAACCCCAGGGCCCTCCAACAACTAAATGTTGGGAAGACAAGCTGCCAGCAATGGAAATGAGGCGTGCCACAGTGGAGAGAACCAGGAATGGGTACTGTCCTAAAATCCAAGGGAGAAAAGGAGGGAGTGATCGGCTATGTCAGAGGCAGAGATGGAAAAGTACCCACTGGTTTGACAACATGGTGGTACCAGTGAGCTGGACAGGAGAGGTTTCAGTGCAGTGTGAGGCTGTCAGGAATGGCCTCAAGACAGAACTGGAGCTGAGGAAGTAGAGACAATGAGTACAGATAACTCACCGCTCTTATTACTAAATTAGACTAATTATGGCTCTATTAATTAAAAGTAATGATGGAGCACCTGGGTGGCTCAGTTGGTTAAGCGTCTGACTCTTGATTTTGGCTCAGGTCATGATCTCAGGGTCATGAGATCGAGCCCCTATGTTTCGACCTGTGCTGGGTGTGGACCCTGCTTACACTTCTCTCCCTCTCCCACTGCCCCTCCCCTGCCTTTCTCGCCCTCTCAAATTAATAAATAAATGTCATGATTGTACTTCCAGTTTTACCAATGAGGGAATTGAGGCCTAGAGAGATTGTAGGTAACTTGCCCAGAGTCTCTCAAGAGAAAAGTTTGTGCTCCTCAACACAAGGAAGATGACTTCCTTCTACCTTCTGAGTGTGATGGTCACGGGAGAATAAGTGCCCTTTGCCATTTACAATCTTCCTTCCTAAGTTTGAGAGACACTCAGGGTTGCCAAGTGGGGGGAGCCCAGTTTGCCCCAGCTGCCATGGGCGGGGTGTTTTGAGCCAAGTACCGAGCTACGTATGTTACAAGACTTACTGCGTTTAGTCCTTTTAATGATCCCACGGAAGAGGAATCATCATTTTCACACTATAAGGGAGGAACCTGACGCTCAGAGAGGCTAGGACTTTTCCCTGAGGTCACACAGGTAGAAAGTGGTAAGATCTTAGGCCTGGGTTGGCCTAACTGCCCAGTCGGTGCTCCTAATCATCACACCGTCCTGCCTGACCACCAGTGGAGAAGGCTGGGACATGAGCAGCTGCCGGAGATTTCTGAGAGGCCGTCCACCTCCTTCTTAGCACCCCTGAGCAGTGACTGCTGATGGGTGGGTGGGTGGGAGGGGCCTCTCCTGACCTCTCTGTAAACTAGGAAGCAGAGTAGTGGGTTCAGAGGTTGTGGAAACAGGATTCGGTGTGCAGCCTGCCCACACTTGTTCTAACCCATGTCAGTGCCTTGCTGAGGTCTTGTTCCAGACTGCCGGGCATTGTTTTCAGGAGCTCGGGCACAGACCCACTCAGATGGTAACTCACCAGCACCCACGGTTGAGGAGGAGGGGGAGGGAGGCACACAGAGCTGTAGGAGCTGCAGGTGAGAAAGACCCAGCCCGGAGGTTCCTGAAATGTGATCCACCCGGCCCTGGGGCAGGTCTGTCCTGACAACGAAAACACTGGGATCGGACATAAGTTCAAATCCTGGCTTGAACCTTATGCCTACATAACCTTGGGTCATTTTTTCTGAGTGCTGAAAAAGGGACAGGAGAAGGTGAGCGTGGTAGAATGAATCTGGAGCGAGTCCAGCTCCAGATTTATCATCTGTGTGAATTTGGCCGGATCCCTCCCCACTTCTGAACCTCAGTGTTTTGCTCTGTAAGTTGGGCATTAAAAATATCTACCTTGCAGAATGGGAAGGAGGGTTAGCGGGGAAAAGTAAGAATGGCAAAGCACCTGGAGTGTTGTTATGCAAACGGGAAGCACTCAAAAATGCTAGTCTGAATGCATTCATTCATTCATTCATTCATTCATTCATTCATATTTACTGAACGTCTACTATAGGCCAGGCATTTGGCTAAGCACAAA